ACACACACACACATATATATATATATATGTGTGTGTGTGTGTGTGTGTGTGTAAAAATAAAAATAAAATTGTAGAAAAAAAAGCTATCAAAGTTTTGGGTGGTTTAATAAGTACGAACAAGAACTGAGCCCAAAACTGAAGTACATGTATTGCATTAATATATAAATATCATAGGAGATTTTACAGTAATAAAAAAAAGCCTACACAAGAGTAACATGTAGAACTTCAAGCTTTGTAACAAAAATTATGCTTTTCTGCCAATTCCAAAGAAGATATTCTCATATTTACGTATAAAATTAGAATTGTTGGCAAATGTCATCTACTGTAAGTGATTGTTAGTGCTTTACTTTGTTAAGAGGTGCTTGTGGAAATGTTTTTTTATTTTTTCATTATTTGTACCTTTAATGTCTTAATATTACTTATGATACTCTATTTTTAAATAATTACATTTTTTCTGAAAATAGTTTACTTTTTTTGTTTAGCTATGATTTAGTATCTTCATTAGTATAAACAAATGTTCTTACTCACAGAGCATAATCTTTTTTTTAATATTTTATTTTAAACATGTATTACTGTAAACAGTAAGACACAAGAAAGTGACCAAATATTTTGAGTCATATTTTGTTATCTGCATATTTTAAAAAAGATATGATGAATTTTTGTATGTGAATAATTTAGTTCTTGAAAGTAATGACCTTTGACAAAAGGCATCAAGAACTCCTGAACTAGCCTTTATCTGTCAGCTTCTTAGGGCTAAATCCTGATTATTACAGTGTGTCTTGGGCATATGATAGTGCTTGGAACTGATGCTGTCTTCCAGAATCCCTTCATGCTTAGTACTGTTATAAATGTTTCCTACATTAGTACAGTATATGCCACACTTGATGTATTGTACATGAATCCCCTAACCAATCTTTACTCATGCACAGTTCAATTCATTACAATCTTGTCAGTAGCACCATACAAGTTAGCATAGCTATGTTAGTGTCAAAGGATGTTTTATTCCATTCTACTAGAATTTTAGTTTGAATTATTTACATATACGTAAACTAAAAGATATGTCATTCTAAACAGTAATTTCAGTTGCTATCTCAAACACAGTGCTCTGAAGTTTTTGTAAGAAACATAGTTTAACACAAGTCTATATAAATCATATATAATTTTTACATATTTAGATATTTATAATATAAACTGAGACAAATGTTTAGATAAAAAAGAAAATACTTCGAATATTGGAAAGAAACAACCATCAAACACATTATTTACTATCAGTTGGTGTATATATATATATATTACTCAAGTGGGGTCCCACATGGTAATAGTAGATACAAAACATCTTGTGTGATACTAAGCAGCAGTAAAAAGTAAAAAAAACCTAATAAGGTAGTGAAAGTGAAATGAACCAATGTCGTCATCATTTTGTTTTTATTGATATTGTGTTATGCAGAAATATCTCGCAGAATGTTAAAACTTTTACAGTTTTGTTATGTGAAACACAGTTAATTTGATCATGGTCATTTGCTAATTCGGCAGAGTTTGTCAATGAGGCTATTTAAGAGTGTTGTTCCTAGGCTTTTCAGTTATGTGGTACCCATGTCTCCTTGTATCAAATTTAAGGGAACATAGTGGAAAGTTTGAGGGACACACTCTTGAGACGTAATGTTTTTCATATTGAAAATTATTAATAAGGATGAACAATTATAATTAGTTGATAGAATAGAATTGTTTTTTGCTAGTTACTTCCACAACATTATACAACATTAAATAATCTAGTTATTAATTTCTGAAAAAAAAAAAAGTAGCTAGGTAGCTTACCCCCTTGGATTCCTTCCCCTAATCTGTACCTGCTTATACAACATCAAAGAATACAGTTTTGCAATTATAAAGTAGAAACATAACACAGTATAAAATAAACAATATATTTACAGCTTATTTAATACTTAAGTGGCCAGAGAATTGATGGTGGGTGCCACCAGCCAGTTGCCTTCCCTCTAGTAAGCAGTTCAAAATTAGTGACAGTGGCAAATAACCTTAGTAGCATCACAATATCACAATAACAAAGACAGGATGAGTAAATGTAATGACAATGGGAATCAAACCTGAGGCCATCAAATCACGAAGCATCCCAACATCCACCCATTATGTAGCTTTGTGCTTGATAGAAAAACAAACATAATGGCTATATTTCATTTACTTGGATATTCAGGACATTAATCGAATAGTTTATGGGACACAAGTCGATTTAATCACAACTCATAGGTTATCAGTTATATTGAATCACCCAGCTCTAATCGTGAGAGCAGGCATTTTCGTCGGATTCATTTCTATCTTGAAGGTGTCAAGACTCACTAGGAACTTATGTATTGCTCCTGCATATTGTGATATTTGCTGATTTTGCATTTCTTTTAGTTAATCAGATCAACACTTCCCAATATGTTCCAATTCATAGTTTGTTTTCATCATCTTTTGTTATAAATACATTTTATTTCACTTACTTTTGTTACTCAAATACAGGTCATTTGATTGTTTTAATTAATGCAATAATTCTGTCAACCAGATGATCAACATCTGCTTCAGCCACTTTTTTGTTTTCTTGTGTTTATAAATAAAGTGTTTATACAGGAATACAAAGTCAATCATAAACCTACACTGTAATTACTTATCAAGTAAAATTAGTATGCTTTTATAGAGTTTTTATAATTATATTTTATAAAATTCAGTGTCACAGAGTTAAAACAAGTATTCAGTCATGTACAGTGTACAAACAGCGTGTACCAAAATCCTAACTTTCTAAAAGAAAAAAAAAACCAAAAACAATGTAAGATCTCAATAATATTATGAATGGTCAAATTTAAAAATTCATTGTACTTCTTCATTTTGGATTTCTTGTTAGGTTTGAAACCCCAACTTATTGATACATGTAAGTGCAAAATTAACTTATATGAATTGATATTTCCATACATGTGGAATTGCTCCCAAGTGGTGTAGAAATTTGTTAGCAAACCTTAGAACTTTAATAGCAGTTAGCTGACCTGTACTAAAGCATTGAAAAGTTGGGGATGTTATAGTTTGCTTGGAAAGTATGTAATCTTTATTGAAGTCAGAAAAGAAGATGAGTGGACATACTTGCATATTATACGATACCAACAGAATTGTGCAGATACCTAATAGTATGTTTGTCTATTGCAAATTTCTAATTAAAGGTAGGTAAAATAGTATTTCAATACTGTGGCAGGAAATGTCAAAGTTGGCAAAGCATTGAAAACTATTAGGAGTAGTAAGTTATAGTTGAAATCACACTTGATTGTAGTTATTTTTATCACATTTTTCTTTGTTATTCAGTTATAGATTTCAAATTAGAATAGTAAAAACAACAATTCAGCCCTATAGACCACAGTGTAGCTGATTTACTTTAAGTAACAAGATCTAATACTCATCTGTATCTTTTTTTTACACTATATTTTAAGTGCATGCACTTAATATTTAAACATTATGTACAATATGGCTACAGATATGTTATAACTGCAATTAGTTTATTACTAATTCTTAAGTCTGTCTTTTAGGACTGGAAAATCAAATGAAAAGACAATGACACTTGAAAAAAAAGTATACCAGTTGCAAGAAGAACTTACTGAACTACATAGGAGGAAAGGAGAGGTTGGTTTATACATACTTTACATAAAAAAATGTTTTACTGCTTATACTGTTTATATTCTTATATAATGTATTGAAATAATTTCTTCAGAAAAAAGTAACATAATGACTTAGAAAAAAAACAGACTAAACTGTACGCTAAATGCTAAGAAATCTCTGATGCTATAAATATCTCCACACTTGGTTTTCTATTTTTTCTTTTGAATAATGTAAGAAAGTTGCATGAAAAACCACATTTTCTATATTCTATTTAAACTTTAAAATATTAGTTTGTTTTGTAATTGATGTCATTAGATTAAAGTTTGGGAAATATATGTAATTCTGTGTCTAAACTTTTACTGCTAAGGCAGTATACAGTGTAGGTTAGAGTTCTTAATAATCAATATTTTCCAATAGAATACCTTAATTCTTCTCATATATTAGCTTTTCCCAATTTTGTGCTGCCCTTTATATGCACAATTTGTTCACACTAGCCTTGAGACTTCTACCTAAACTCATGTAGCATGGAAATGAGCATGCAACAACCATCCACCAATAGGAGTGTGACACACACCCTTCTAGCACAGTTGACTCCCTCTTTACTGGTTGTTCAATCATCACCTTGAAATTTGGCACTCGTGTAACAACAAGCCTTTTTTTTTTTGCTCGTGAACTTTCAGATATAGCCATTTTTTGGTGAAAGTATTTATTGTTGGATTTTCAATTTCCAACATTTTATGCACCTGCATATTTTGTGGCCTTTTATTTCTACATTATTTCACAAATGTCCCTAACTTCCTCTCTTGTTTGTTGTGAAACAACACAAGTTGTTCACACTAGACTAATGACTTATAAACCTTTGTTTGATTTCTTTCATTTGCCTGTGTGATTTTACTAGAATTCTTTTTTATCTGGAATCACATGTTGTGTCCACATGCCAGTGATCATCCTTATCCCCACTGGTTTCCCGTTTCTCCAATGCTCCTTCTTTTCCCCTTTCTGTTTCTGGTCTACTGCTTCGTCTCCCCCTTCCCCTGTTACCAACAGTCCTCCCACTGCTCGTAGACTTCATTACTATCTATCTTGGTGGTGACTACATTATAGGCTCAGGATCAGTAGGACCCATTTAGTTCAGTTTACGGACATTTTCCCTCTGTTTGCCGATTGTTGGGTACTGGGAGTTCTGTCAGAAAGCCTTACCATTCGTTTTTTCCTCTCTTCCTCCATTGTCTTTTGTTCCTGTTACTTTCCCGCTTCCAAGAGGTCTTGTTTTCTTACCAGTGTTGAACCTAATAGCTAATGCTACTATTAGACGGTTTCTAATCCTTCTCAAGGATTTTATCCCTAAGTAATCAGTGGATAGGTGTCCAGTCATAGATATTTCATGACTCATTCGGTTACTTGACATTCCTCGATTTCCCATGGTGACTTTTTCATCCCAGGTCTTTGGATGACCGAGTTGGATGTTTCATATTATTATTTTCTCATTTGGCTCCATCCCAACATGCCTCTTACAGCCATTCTCTTCTCCTTTGGGAGGTGGTGCATCTAAGTTTATTGGTCAATCTGGAGAAGTAATATCTCGCACCCACTCAATATCTCATTTTATTTGGGTATTTTTCAGTTCACACCTTCACAGGGCCCAGCCTTGTACCTTTTGCTTGAGGGATATGGAGTGATTAGTTTCCCATGCCCTATCCTCCCCTTCTCTCACTGTGTGGGAGGTTCTCTCTTGTTTAGGGACTTGGGCTTCCATGGAATATCTTATCCCCTAGGTCATGCTCACTTTCAACGTCTACAGTGGACTCTGCACAACCACTGGATCCACACTCTGGATCCTTCCTCCTTTCTTACTCAAAGACTTTACCAATACCACAGAGGGAGTGCCTCTTCCTTCTTCTCATCTGGGTTTCCATCTGTTTCCTGATGTGTTCTTGAGGGGCATGTTTCGACTCAAGTTATTTTGTTTAGTGGTCTTGTGACTACTCAACCCTTCATATCAGTCATAACTTTTGTCAGTATGTTGAGCAGGGGATCATTTTCTTATGATGGTTCATGGACGTCTAGTGATGACCCATACAGACAACTCTATAGTTGTCTTCTAGATCAATTGCTAAGGGAACACCCGGTCCCGCTCTCTGTTTCCACACACTCGACCTCCTTTTCTGGGTCCATTCTTTGTAAGAACATTTAATAGAATGCCATATTTCAAGTGTCAAGAATCATGTCACAGATCATCACTTGATACTAACTCATAGATACATTTGTTCTTCCTCCCTTCTCTGACATCAC